TGGCTGCTTTCCCAGAGGTCTGAGCCAGACCATACCGCGTCAGTCATGGTGCCTCCCCACCACCACAGACGGGGCTGGAACCCAAGCCCTGTCCCTCCACAGCTGCTTTCAGTGGGTGGGAAGGAGCCAGGGCCCAGCTTTAGCCTTAGCTGGACTGCAGGTCCCCTGCCAGCAGGGAGGGTTTGGCTCTTAGTTCCTCCCAGTGGGTTCCCTTGGGCTAGGCCCTCCTCTTTTTGCATGTGCCACCTCCAGTGGGAAACCAAGCCAAAAGAGACCACTCTGGGCCAAGTCATTCGTGCCTTGTACACCCCCTCCTCCTGTCTCCAGTTCTCCTAGCACAAGGCAGTGGAAAGCCCAAGCCCCATGGCCTCAGAATTCCCCCTACTTCCCCCAGTGCCTCTGGGGATTTATTTCTTTTGGCCAGGATGGGCCTGGTCCTGAAGGTAAGACGGAGGGAGTTTGGAGACTTGGGCCTTTATGCCATGGGCTGTGGATGGAGAATGTGCAGTTATTTATTTTGTGTACTCAAGTTTGTAAATGTATCCTTTGTACTCAATAAACAGGCTGCCTTCCCCAGGGAAAGCTGCCCATTCATTCCGACAGCCCAGTCTCTTGCTGTGGACAAGAGGTTGCCCAGGAGGCGGTGGGGAGGTGGGAAGAGCCCAGCCTGGTCACGGCTAGTCTAGGAGGATCCTAACTCCTCAACACCTGCCGTGCCAGAAGACAAACTCCGCTTGGGGAGTGGGGCCCCCAAGAGCCTCTCTCTTTTTTTTTTTTTTTTTTTTTTTTGGCGGTACACAGGCCTCTCACTGTTGTGGCCTCTCCCGTTGCGGAGCACAGGCTCTGGATGTGCAGCGGCCATGGCTCACGGGCCCAGCAGCTCCGAGGAATGTGGGATCTTCCCGGACCGGGGCACGAACCTGTGTCCCCTGCATCGGCAGGCGGAACCTCAACCACTGTGCCACCAGGGAAGCCCTAGCCTCTGCTTTTCCCTGAACCAGGAAGACAGACAGGCATACACAAGAGGACAGAGCCTGGGGTCTTTATTGGACTGAGATGGGGAGAGGGCCTGTGGTGGGCTTGGTTGTAGGCTATGATTGATCCAGGTACTGAACTTGCTAACCTGAGTGTACGTGGCAGGCGCGCACATGTTGCAGTTATTGGCGCCCCAGGAGACAATACCAGTGAGCACCCACATGTCCCCCTTCTGGCAGACAAGCGGGCCTCCACATTCACCCTGATGGAAGGAGAGGGGAGAAGTCAGTGTGGAGGGTGGGAGTGCCACAGGACAGTGCAGAGGACAGGACAGGGTGCCAGTGCTCACCTGGCACGAGGAGGCCCCGAGGCCCCTGCACAGATCATAGAATTGGTGATGCGTGAGCCCCAGTATTGCTGGCCACTGACTCACGGTGACCAGGGGCAGAATCACCTGCTGCAGGCGTGCAGGAGTCACACTGCCTGTGGGCCGGGAGTGGGTGGTTAGGTCCCAGATGACTTGTCCCCACCCTGCCCTCCCACCCAGAGTTTTGGCCCAAATTCCTACCCGCACCGCTGAGGCGGCCGCAGCCAGTGGTGACACGTGAGGCCTTCAGGCAGCACCTCATTTGAGGAAGCCAGGCAAACTGGTGAGATGTGTGTTGTGTACTGGGCTGGGGAGGCGAGCTTTAGTAGCATCAGATCGTTGTTCATGGTGGTGGGGTTCCAGAAAGGGTGCGTGATGGCCTGCGGAGCCAGGAAGGGGCCATGCAGGATGGGGATGGGCACAGGCCCCCAGTGTGATGGGTGCTGAGGGGACTAGGCCAGAGCATGCTCCGAATTCCTCACCCCCAGAGCCCACACACCTACACTGCCCACTCTTCCTTCCCCATCTGCAGCCCAGGCACTGACCCGCAAGATGGACAGAACCTGCAAAGGCTCAGCGCTGGATGATAGGTCATACTCGCCCAGGATGACAAAGTGGCAGCCAGGGCTGCAGTGAGAGTGGGGTTGGGCAGCCACAAGGAGGGCAGAGTGACAAGAGAGGGGCCTCCAGGGCAAGGGCGTGGGGGGGTGGGGGCTGGGGGCGGTGCAGGTAGAAGGGAAGCACTCACACAACATTGCAGTGGGCAGCAGTGACCACCCAGGACTGACTGATGAGGGAACCACTGCAGAAGTGGAAGCTGTTGCTGTCCTGGGGTCAGGGGTCAGAAGTGGGCGTGGGCCCAGGCTACACCCAGGCATGAAACACCTGAAACCCTGCCCCACCCCCAGGGTGCATGTACCTGCAAGGACACCTGCCAGGGCCACGAGCCCAGCACTGCATTCTCCCCATTGACAATCCTCTGGCTGAAGCTCAGCACCGGTCTGATGGCAGGAACGCCACAACCTGACCATTGGGCTGGTGAGGACCTGCTTCCCACATCCCAGCACACCTCTCCTCTCCTCCTCCTGGGTGCTCCCAGGCTGTGCCCCCCAAGAGGGGTCCAAATCAAGAGGGCTCATCACTACCCCTTCTCACCCTGAGCACCTCTGGGCCTCTATAGCTATCTCAGTTGCCCCCATCCAACCAGTTCCCAAGTTCTGTTCATTCTTCCTCATCTCTCTCCAACCTACGCCCCACCATTCCCCAACTCCACCCCACCCCTGATCCCAGGCCATTTTTCTCCCTGTCCCCAGGAATATTCCTGTCTCCTTCCTAGCCTCTTCACTCCGTCCAGACCTCAACGGTCCATACCCCACATGCAGCCAGAAGGCTCTTCCTAAACTACACGTCCAACCTTTGCTTCTCAGCTTCCTAAACCCTCCCCGGCTCTTGGGCCCAGCCCAAGCTCCTGTCCCATTTGTGAGACTGGCCCCTGACCCCCTCTTGCCCAGCCTTGCCACATCCTTTCTCCTTTGCCCACTCTGTCCACCTGCTTCCCTTCTAGCCAGCCTGGCCCCTGCCCTGAGCCCCTGAGCAGGAAGCCTGGGCTACTGCTGGGAGCTGGGTTGCCCTAAGGCTGTTCAGTCAGGGCTGGGCCAGGCCCACTTACCCAAGGAGGAGCCAAGGAGGAGCCAAGGAGGACCAGGGTAAGGATGAGGCTGAGCAGCAACACTGTGGCAGGCGTGAGGTTGAGAACTGGGCCTGGCTTTATGGTTCTCTTCATCCTTGAGCCAAAGTCCCAGGACTGAGGCCAGGCAGCTGTGGAGGTTCAGCTCCCTGCCATTATTCCTCCTTGCTCTAGGCAGGAGGAGGGTCTCTTTGGGTCAAGGTCCTCCACTCAGGCCTTGACTTATCAGACAGAGCCCAGGTGTGAGGCTCTCACCTCCTCCACCTCCCAAAGCCTGGCCCCTGACTGGATCCCTGAACCACCTCACATCCCAAATGTTGAGCACCAGGTACCGAGGACTTGTGGTTAGACTTAACGGTAACCACCTGGTGGCTGGGATCAGGGAAGTCTCTCAGGGCTATCAGGAGCACCAAACTCACAGAAGCCTGCTCAGCACCCAGGGGTGTTCCTGACTGGTAGAGGGAATGTCCACCTGCACCGGCTCTGCTGTGGAAGGGCCAGGGCCAGGACGGGGGTGCTGGCGGGTTGCAAATCCTAACATATCACCTCAGTGATTCCTCTTCAACTTGGAATGGGTGTCACGGTTTGCTCAGGGAGATGCTGACTCTCCCGCCACATGGTGTGTTTGGACCCAAACCTTCATCTGTCTGGCTCCAAAGCCCACACTGTTCGTGATGAGATGATACACCTAGGAGGGGCCTTGTGCACAGGAGGGCAAGGTATGAGCCCTTGGTGACTGGCCGATCCTAGATGGAGATCAGGGGTGGAAGAATGACAGCCATCAAATCTCTGACAGCCTCCAGGCCTTGGGGCTCCCATGGACAAGCCCCTGGTATCTACAGTCCATTCACTGTAGAGCCCCAAGGTGAGCCTGAACCGAGGGAGAGAAGACACCCCTGTGTGCAAAGTTGCAACAGGTAAGTTGGCTTGCCTCCTTCTAGGGGTGTGAGGGCTTTGGCTGATTCCAGAACACATCAGTCAAAAAAATGAGTTAATTGCTGACTAGAGGGAAGGATAGATAGATACATGGTAAAGCAAATATAACAAAATACTAATTGTAAAGTCTGCAGTGGGTATATAGGTGTTCAACTTTTTTCCAGATTTTATGTTTTAAAATTTTCATAATAAAATACTGAGGGAAAAAGCATAATCAGGGACCCAGGGATGTCCAGCCTGGAGTAGACCCTCCCCAGGGGTTGGGCAGACTCTCTCTAACAGTTCCAAAGCTCCAGGGGAGCTCAGCCATTCTCTCCCAAGGCAGGATGCTCCCACTAGCACCCTGCACCTGGGCTGACACTCAGTGAGTGCTCAGCAAAAGTCTGCTGGATAAATGTGTCATATTATCTCTCCCCACATGAGCCCTGTGATCCCTGGCACCCAGAAAACTTGGAGTCAATCCCCTTAGTCACAGCCCAACACGTGCAAACAGAAGCTCAGCATCATGTTAGCACCTCAGGTATGCCTGGTCATCAGAAGGGTTTCACAGATAAAGCCGTTGTAGGGGTGAGGAGTGCGCTTGTGAGAACTTGCCCTTGGAATAAGGGAGCAGCTCCTCCACCGGCATTTTAGCCATCAGTGGGGATGGGGGGGGGTCTGACTGAGAGCTGTGGGCTGTGTCCTTGGCCACTGATGAGCCAGGTAAAGGCTCTATGTGGGGGCAACACATAGGGCCTTTTGGGTTGTACAACAGCCCTCAGTGGACTAGAGGGCAAGAGCAAGGCATGAGAGTGGTAGGGGGAGCCTCTGTAGTGTGGAGAGTCAGGAGGGGGGCTTTCTACTTTGAGCCTGTGATACTTGCCAGGGCTGGGGTTCTGGAGGGGTAGATGCCTAAGGTGATGGGTGAAGTGCACCCCTTAGGCTAGGCACTGAAGCCATGGGAGGAAGTGGCCCTGCAGGGATACCTTAGGCACAGAGCCCCGCTGGCTGCTTGTCCCCCTCCACCCAAGAAGGACACAGCCATCTGTCTAGGTATTTGTGTTTTCTGGGTTTATTCCTCCTTGTTCCAAGCTCTAAGCCTCAGCCTACTTCACTCCACATCCATGGCCTGCACAGTTTCCTCCAGCAGCTCCAGGGTCAGCGGCATCACTGTCTCTGACAGGACAGCTGTGGTCCCAGGGGCAAAGCGGTACTGTCTGGACCTGGGAAGGAGAAAGGATGACCTCATCAAGTGGCCCGTCTTCTCTTTGCAGCCCCCTATTTCCCTTACTACCACCCCATCCTCCCCTGTGATTCCCCCATCTCCTATGCTCCTACCTCTCTATAGGCTCTGTGGGAGAGCTCAGTGTTCGCAGCAGCTTGGCGCTGGTCCCAGTGATCACACATGCATCCACACTGCCCCCAGAGCCCAAGTCACCCAGGATCCCTGCAGTGATGGCTTCCACCAGCAGCTCCCGCGCTGCCTCCAGCTGTAAAGATGTGTGTGTGTGTGAGTCCTGATGGACCCTTTAGTATCACCCTCAGGCTACAGCCTGGAGACTGTTAATCTTGAAGGCTGGACTATTTACCATTTGCTCACACCCAAACTCCTCTCTCTCCCTACACCCCCATCTCCACCCCAGGCTCCTCTACCCTGGTTTCAGTATCCCTCTTTCCAGAGACCCCAATGTTCCCACTGCCCCCATCTTCACAAACTTCTCTGAGTCACACTTGTGGCTCTGCTTCCAGTGGGCTATTCACCCACCCACAATCCCTGGCTCACTGCCTTTTTCTTTCTGGGCCATAAGCACCTATAAAGTGATATATGCCTTCTGCTTCCATCCACCCTAAACAAAATCCAGACTCGACCCCACCTGCTGTTCCCTTCTCCCTCAACACCAAATGGCCCTGAGTTTTGACTTCTGGGACAGTCCAAGCTTTAGCACTGTTGGAATAGCACTTCACCCTCACTCCACTGGCCCCTCAGTCTCCACTCAGTCGTCACCTCCGAGAAGCCTAGCTCTAGAGTAGGCCAGGGTACCTCTGCGTTTCCCCAGCTCCCGGGTGTGCACTTCCCACCAATGCACGCATAGTGGGGGCGGGGGGAGATGTCGCTCACCGTCATGTTCGGCTGGAACCGGTCCTCCAGCACTGCCAGGGCCGCATCCTGGCCGGAGCCTGCAGGCAGGAAGGGCATCGGAGGTCAGCCGCGGCCTCCCAGTCGCGGGATAAACGTTGAGGTCCCACGGGCGGGGTTCGCGGGAAGGGGGCGGAAGCGCTCACCCTGGGCCGTGAAGGGCAGACGGCTGTAGGAGCCGTGGGGGTGCACGCAGTAGAGCTGCGGTCCGGTGACGTCTACGCCGCCCACAATCAGCGAGGCGCCCACATACCCCCGGTACCTTTTCGCGGAGTGGGTGCGGTCAGTCGAACGCACAGGAATCTAGGTCCCGCCCCTCCTCGATACCGCCCCTGCACCCGAGCCCCGCCCCTTCCCGTGGTCTGGCGCCCCGTGACCAACAGCGTTCCTTCCTGCCACTCTCTTAGCTCCTCTTAGGCCATCCTCTTCCGGTCTCTCGGACCTCGAGGCCCCGCCCTTCCTCCTGTCAAGCCTCCTCTCAGCCCTGCCCTCCCCGCAACTGCCCCTCCCCAGGATCATTTTAGCCCCGCCCCAGCACCGGAAGAGCGTCTGGCGCAAAGCGCGGGTGACCGTGGCCACGCGGGGCTCGCGGCCTGTGGACAGCGCGTGTAGCTCCATGTTAGACGCCGCCATCCGCGTGGTCATCTCTGCGTCCGCGGCTACTCCAGCCCCACAGCAGCTGAAGGCGAAGGGAGGGTTCGTGTGGGCGGGACTATGGATGTTCTGGGACCCGGGATGGGAACGAGGGGGCGGTTCTTGAGGGGGGAACTGGGCGGGGGAATGCTCACTAGATTTTAGGGGCGATGAAGTGGATCTTTTCGCAGCTCTGGTACGCCACGATCGAATCGTTAGTGGCCCGCGTATCCGCGCCCAGGATGACCCCGTCCTGGGGGGGGGAGGACCCATTGGTTCAGTGCCCACCTCCCATTCCCGGCCGCTCCTCTGAGTGTTACAATCCCAACGCCCTACTCACTCGGAACACAAGGCCTGCGATGGTGGTTCCGGTCTTGCGTGCATGAGGGACACGGAGCCCCGGGAGGGAGCGTTCCAAGGCTGCGTTTCTGGAAACGGAGGGGAGAAACCCAGGTTTCAGTTCTTCTGGGACCGTCATCACATCCCCTAACTCCGTCCCGGTTACCCTCACCTTTCGGGTAAGCCTGGGAACCCAAATCGTTCCACACACGTACCTTCCCCCACCCTCGCCCCCAGGAATTTTAAAGACCCTGGGGCTCCCACTCCCGGAAGCCCCCACTGAGGGCGTAGGCAGGTGGGGAACCAACCATCCCCCCACTCACCTCTCGCAGTTTTCGAAGGAGAAGCCCTTTTGGGGTTCTAGCGCTGTCTTCTGCATCTCCGGGTGGGCAGGGGGTCAGAGGAGTGGGATCAACACGGAGGAAGGCCGAAGCCTTGACCTCTCTCGGGCTGCACTACTGAGCTTCCTCCTTTCGCTTTCACCTTCCCTCAGAGCATGCCAGCCCCTCTTTTCTGCATCTTCTCTTTCACTTTCACCTTCAGCTCTGGTCCTAGGCAGCTTGGGAAGGGGGAGATGCCTCTTGCCTGGCTCTCCATGCTGCTCCTGGGCCCTCTGTCTGAACAGAGGGACAGATCCCTCCTCTCTGGCCACTGTCCAGCCTGAGCCCCGAGCTCTGCCTACCCTGACCCCAACTCTAACCTCAGGTCCCAATGTCCTGAGGCTGTCACATTGACCAGGTCTCTGTTATTGTTAGTGGCCTTCCAACAGCATCAATCATGGCTGCCATTTGTCATTCTCCCAACTCCTGCCTCTCTTTTGCTACCTTTGCCTTCTTCCTAAAACCTCAAACACGGAGGCTCAGTCCTCGGCCAAGGTGATGCTGATCCTTCCGTCTTCCATGTCTCGGATGCTGTCTTCCCTCTCTCAAGAGGGGCACCGTAGGTGTCCATCTGGTGGCTCGTAGGCATGCTGGGCTCTACCCATGGCTAAACCTTATTTCACATCCCAAATGACCCTTTATCCACTTCTTTCTCCTACTTACTGCTTGTTTCAGCTAGCATCCTCTCCCCTGGACACTGCACTGGCCTCTCTGGTTTCCCCACACTTCCTGCCCCTCACCCCCCACCCCCAGGCTACACTCTGCCCTGCAGAGAGGGGGCTCTTTTCTAGACTGGAGATCTGGTCACACTCTTTCCCTGGTTAAACCCTGTATCAGCTGCATGCTGCTCTTAGGTTGAAACCAGTCTTTACAGTTACCCTTCTCATTCCATCTGATCTCAGCACAGGCACCACCTCCTCTGGGAAGCCTTCCCTGACCCATAAGAATCACCACCTTGTTCCTCCCTAAACTTTTCTCTCAGATCACTTAGCTCCATTAATTAAATCTTCAATATTGAAATGACCTATTTAGTGGCTGTCACTCTCCTAGATGCTAAACTCTTGTGCTTCTGTCACCCACCTAGCACTCAAAAGTCTGTCTAGAGGTGGGGTCTCACCTGCCCTTTTGGGAGCTAGGAGGGGCAGCTCAGATCTTCTCCATCCTGTACCCTAGGCTCCACGTACCCCCATTCTACAGCTGTGTGTGCAGCTCCCTCCAGTCCCCATGCCCAGAGCAAAGGCAGGCACAGAGAGGCTGCTTAAATAGCTCAACCAGAAGAGTGGGAAGCTGTATATCTCAAGGTGCCCAATTCAATCCCAGGCTCTAGCAAAGCTGTTCTTGCCCTGTGCTCCACAAAGCACCAGGTCTGCAGATGAATGAGTGCTGGTGTGAGGACCCTAGTGTCTTTCCCTGAACCCATAACACACGTCAGGGGTTATAGCAGCAAAGGAAGGTCTTTATTCAGGGGGCATGGGCCTTGGGCTGGCAGTTGGGGGTACGGCGGTGCTATTTCGGTAGGTACCCAGCAGGATGGCATTGATGTGCTCCAGTGTCTGGTTGCTGAAGACCATATTGAGGTGCTGTACCCCAGGCAGAGGCAGCAGGTGCACAGGCTGCTGTTGGAGGCCCTGCCACTGGGCACAGAGCTCGGTGCTGCGCGTGGCCACAGTGTCATCCCCGTCCTCATAGAGCACACCCACAGGGTCCGTGTAGGGGAAGCCATGGTCAAAGATGTAGGTGCTGGGTGTGGGCAGGCCCACGCCATACAGACAGTATACTTCCACTCCAGGTGCTGGGAGCCCTGCCAGCAGGTCACGTGACTGTAACCACATGTACCAGCCTTCCTCAAAGTGCAGGTCTGTAAAGAAGCGCTGCAAGTCACGGCTTGTGTAGTTGAAGGTGGGGGTGGAAATGAACACGTGGTCCTCGGGCCATGCCTGGCTGGAGGGAAACATCCAGGGGGATGCTGTTGTCATGCGCTGCTCCTCTTTCAGCTTGATGCTGGACATGATTGGGATGCCCTGGTTGTCACCTGTGGACACAGAGCAAGGTAGGGCAGGGAGCCAGTCCTGGCTACCCCCGGCCCACAACTTGCCCCCCAGCCCAAGCTCAGCTGGATGCTCAACTTTGTCTTGCCCACTCCAAACATCAACTCCAAGTCATGGACTAGAACCAGCCTGGCATTCAGGAGGGGCTCCATGTGTACTTGTTAAGTGAGAAGCCCTAGTGGCACCTCTGTGAGGCAGAGCTCTAGAGCTTCAACAGGAGGGCAGGGAGGGGTTTCCTGTGTGTGTGAACAGTGGGGGATGGTGCTGGCAGTTCTCTCAGGCAAGTGTCTGTCGGCCCCTGTGGCCTGTGCTGCACAGGGCTCAGAGCTGTGTTCTGGGAAGAATGAAATGAGACCAATCTCTGTTTGACACTCATTGATATAGTCTGGGGAGTGTTTCCTTCACTTAAGCTCCTAGGGGTAAGGCCACGTCTGGCTGTGCTCAGAATACAGTGGGTGCTCCGCAGGTGGTAGCTATGCCACTCCTTGGGGAAGGGCAAGAGGGGCTCCCGGGGTCTGGCCCTGGCTTAGGGCAGATCCCTGGGCAAAGGGGCTCCTGGGAGCAGAAGGCAGCCGAAAGCTGAGTGGGTAGGACCTGAGGCTACAAGGAACAGACCTCAGCAATGAGTCAGATTGCTGGGGTTAACTTCCTCTTTGTTTACTTCCCCTTTGTTATCGCTGAGACACTGTCGGGAGACACTCTAATGGTCCAGGCCAGGCTCACTGCTCTCAGAGGGCCAATGAAAGGGGCTGTGCCCCAGAGGTGGTAGACAACACCCCCAGCCTGGCATTGTGAGAAGAAACAGGAGTGAGGGCAGGCCCACGGTCAGCTTCATTCCACCCCCCACCCCTCCCCATGGGACACAAGTGATCAGAGGCCCTCTCACCTGAGGCCAAGATTATCATGGGCTTGATGGAGCCACCCCAGGGAGCCCCAAGAGAGATGAAACCATCGATGAAGCGGTCCTTCCAGGCCTGGGGCTGGCGCAGTAAGAAATAGAGCAAGTGCAGGCAGCCGAGGCTGTGCCCAATGAGGAAGACAGGCCTTCTGTAGGTAGCGTGCATTTCCTCCACTAGCCCAGCAAGCTTCAGGTAGTACTCCTCCTGCTGGCCTGCAGGGGGGGGTGGATGGGTCAGCACAGCTGGGACTAGGGGCCACCTGCCCTGCCCCAAGCCCCCTATGCACAGAGACACTCACTGGGCTCCAGCCGCCAGTCGTAGGGGGCGGCCCGCACCGTCTCATCCCGCACATACCCATTGTTGACCAGGTTCTGAACCAGTGTGTGCATGTAACCTGTGGGCGAGGCAGTGGCACTGGGGGTTCTGGCCGTGGCTCCTGCAAGCCCACCAAGCCTACAGCCCCACACTTTCCTGCAACACACACACCTGCCAACTTGCTGTTGTCCAGATACTCAACAGAGTAGGTCTTGCCAAAGCCGGGAACACGGATCTGTACACCGGGGGCATTGGATACTCGCCCAGAGCTGCGGTTGTAGACAACCCTGGGGGCAGTGGGACAGTCAGCGGAGCGGCAACCAAGGAATAGGGTGGGGGGCTAGGCCAGAGGGGATGGCACGAACCTGGTGTTATCGATCCAGCAGTCTACCCCAACGGGTAGGAACATATTGAGATCCAGCCAGATGGTGAAAAAGTCGTCTGTCTTGCGGTAGCACATCCAGTTCACCACATTTGGTTTATCCAGCTTGGCTTCCAGCTGATTCCCCAGGCAGCCAGGCACTGCGGGCACCAGCCTTCACTCTGGATCCCTCCCATTTCCCTGCAGTGGACCCCACCCCGGTCTCACCTCCCCAACACTACAGTGACCAGCCCCGCCCCTTCATCTCCCACACCCTCCACCCCCAGGGATGAAGGACAAGACCCTCTCTTTCTGATCACATCCCCTGCCCCGTCCCCACAAAGCCCAGGCTCCCCTCGGTCAGGGAAGGTACAGGGGCCAAGGCCACTGCCCCCTGCCCCCACCAAGCAAACATGTAGCATGGCTCTCCATCACTGCCAAAGTCCAAGGGGAGAACAAATAGTACAAGGGAGTGGGGCCGGGCCTAGGAGTAGGGGCAGGACCTGATGAGCCTCTCCTGCTCACCTGGGCTGGGCACCTTGTCATTGCCGGGGTGGGGGCTGAGGAAGGAGTGGTGGGGCTTGGACCGGGGTCCAGTGGCTACAGCTGACCACAACTTGTAATGTCCCAGCCAAGCCCTCAGGCACACCCACCCTCTACTCCACCCACCTCGGGGAGACAACTCCGAGACACGAGAACAGTGTGGTGCGAGAAGGGGTTGATTTCTCTGCAGGACAAGCCTTTGGCCCCTCCAGATGCTGAGGCAGTGATCAGGGCTAATGCAAGGGCAGAAGGGCCTCAGCAGGCTCTGCTACCAGGGGCTGGGGCCCAGGTTCCCCAAGGTCTGCCCTGGTGTATCAGGGGCCTGGTGGGGGCTTACCGAGGATGACGGGCCGTGTGTGGTTACTGAGCTCAGCCTTGGGCGTGGTGTGCGGGGGGAAGAGCACATTGAAGAGCCAGAACGGGGCGGCGGGGGGAAGCAGCAGCCCCAGCAGCAGCAGGACCCACTGCCGTGGGGAGCCGGGCGGCCCCATTCCAGCCCTTGTGCCTAGTGCCCAGTGAAGCAGTCCCGGGCTGGCCTTATCTGGAGTTGGGGTGGGAGGGGCCCCAGGGTCAGTGGGAGGGACAGCCTGGCCAATGGGGGTGGCCAGAGATTTCCGGAAAGGGGCACAGCCTCAGGGAGCCAGCTCTGGGCCTGGGTTCAGTTCCGCCTCCTTCCCTTGGTGCCAGGGGAAACAGAGCCGGGGCAGCGGGAGGCCCAGAAGTACACAATGTTTTATTGAAAAAAGTCAGGCTTCAGCTGGCTCGTTCCATTCAGCTCGGCTTGGTGGGAGTCCCTGCCCACAGTAGCCTGAGTCAGATCTTCCTGCAGGCTGGCTTGGCCAGACCCCTCCCTGGTCGCCCTTCCCCTCCTCTCTGATGGTGACATTCAAACAATAAATATGCAATAAATAGCACTCCTGGGCCAGCTGCCTTCAAACCCCACATCAGCCCCCACCAGTCTTCTGAGTCAGGACAGGCGTCCTGGGGTGCTGGACAGGAAGTCCCCAAACCTCTCAGGGTCTTGCAGGACCTCGGATCCACCTCCATTGTCAGGTCTGGGCCCAGTCTCCAAGGAGACCTAGCAAAGCTGGGTCCAGGGCAGGGCTGGGCAAAGCAGGGCTGGCGGGCGGGTGCTGGGAGGGGGCTGTTTGTTACCCTGGACGCCTCCACTCTAGGCCACAAGTCTGTATTGGGCTCAGGAGTAGATGGTGATGACTTCACGGCCACCACCACGGACCAACAGCACCCGTTCGAGGCCCTCAGTCAGCACCTCCAGGAACTCCATGTCTGTAGGGCATCGAGTCAAGGAGGCAGCACCCAGGGAAGCACCAAGGGGCACCCAGGGAAGTTTGGCCCGTCAGTCAGAGCTGGGTGCCCTGGCACCCCCTAGGGTACCCAGGGAGAGGAGCTCCTGGCCTGACCTCACACACTGTCCACCTCCCCACTGCCCACCTCTTTACAAAGGGATACAGTTCTCATCGCCCTCGCTGTTCTTGGGTGGGCCGGGCATGTTCAGTAGGACCAGGCGGGCGTCATGGGAGCGTGTGACAATGACTTCATTGAGCTTCACAGCCGTGTGCATGCGCCGCACATTGGATTGGTCCCTGAAGGTAATGCAGCTGAACATGGGCCCCGCCCCTGGCCCACCCACAGGGCTTGTCTGCCCCCATCCCACCTCCAACCCCAGACCCTAATGTGGCTGGGTCCATTTCTGCTGCACTCACGGCTTAATATGTACCAGCTCCCGGAAGTTGTCAGGGGCATGGCTGGGGTCCCAGGGCTCTGCTGCCATATATTTGTCCCGTGTCCATGTCATCTGGATCTTGTCAGTCCCAGCTGCAGACTCTTCCTCCTCGTCTGAGTACAGGCTCTCCAGCCGCAGGGCTGAGTGCCGGTCCTTGACCAGCTGGGCCTGAGGACAATCAGAGGAAGTCTCCTCAGTGCCATGGGAAAGGGTGGGCCTGGCTGGCCCAGCGTGATCACCCAGCCTTAGGGAAATGGGTGGGGCTGGGGTGAATCATTCTGATGCTCCCACCTGATGGCGTCTCCCAAGGCCTGACCCTGCCCTGGACTGAGAAGGCCACTGACCTCTCGCTCCCGCTCAGTCTTGGTCAGCCTCATTTGCCGCAGCATCTGGGAGCGCTGCTCCATCATCAGTGTCCGCTCGTAGGTATATGCAGAGATGTCGCTGTTATGCTGGGGAGAGGGTGAGCCATGAGGACCGCGCTACGTGGGGCAGGGTATCCACAGGGCTACGTCGGGCAGGTGGCTTACCATCTCCACCACTTCCACCTCTGCCTCGAGGCGCAGGTGGTACAGGAAGACAGCCAGATCCTTCTTCATCTGGATGCTGTTGTCATCCATCTGGGCCACCGTGAAGATGCGCATCCGGCACTTCCTCCAGACCTGTGGCAACAGAAGGTGGTGGTTCAATCACACCCCACCCCTTCAAGGGCCCAGCCCCTCTCACCGGGGCCCAACCGCCTGGCCCACCTTGTGCTGGCGTAACAGGAAGGGCAAGAGCATGAGCATGCCGCCGTCGTGGACAATCCACCACACATCGATGTGGCCCTCCAGGTAGCGCTCGTGGTTGCTGGGGTAGAAGGCGATGTTCTTGGGCACGAGCAGGGCCAGGTGGGCGGCCGTGGTGCAGCGCACGGTGTCTGGGGAGGAGGGGCACTACTGATCATCAGCCTGTGACCCTCTGGCCTCTGTCCCCACTTGACCCCTGCCCCTGTCCTATGTGGTCGAGCCCAGGCCCTGACCCTCACGCACCAATAAAGGTCTTCCAGGCACGTGGGTCCTCACTCTGTCGCCAGCCGTAGGGCCAGCCCAGCACCACGGAGTTATGCCTCATGCCACCCAGGCCGCAAGACTGGATGAGGTGGGCCAGCCCCTCACGCACCTTGCTGGCCACCACCACCTGGCAGAAGCCCTTCACCTTCTCAATCTCCATCATGTTCTTGATTGTCTGTGGGGAACATAGCAGAGTCAAAAAGCAAGGCCATCAGCGTCCCCTCTGCTGGGCTCCCCACCAAGGCCCCTAGGGCGCAGAGGGTGGGGGTGGGGGTGGGGGAGGAGACGGGGGCAAGCTGCCCACCCAGATGCCATGTTTTCAAGATGGAACAGTTATAACCCCCTTGCGCCAGCTCTCAGCTGGCAGCAGTGCTGTCCACCTGGCTGGCTGTGCACCAGCTGCAGCCCAGACAACTCTAGTCCAGTTCAGTGTCCTCCCAACACCGTCCCCTTGCAGCAGGCACCTGCTCAGCGGCCTGGGCCTCGCCATAGCTCTCCAAGAAGCTGCCCTGGATGACAGAACCAACAATGGTCAGGCCCTTGCCGGCCTTAAGCTGGGAGGCGAAAGTGAGGAGCCGTGGGTACTTCACATGAAGGTCCTCATCTAGCTTCAGCAGCACCAGCAGCTGAGGTCTGTGGTGGCCGAATGGAGAGGGAGCCTGAGACCAGGGCCAGAGGTTTCCAGGGAGCCCAGCTCCTTCCCTTCCTGGCTCACAGGCCCCTACACGTAGCAGTGATCCAAGGGCCAAATAAGCAGGATGCTGCCCCTGGCAACTCAGGACAGGGAGCACGGACTAGGGAGGGGGAGCCAGCACCTCTTGACTCTCCCACCCTCACAGTGCCTGAGCTGGGCCCCACCAGGCCGGGCGTGACTCACCGCCAGTTCTTGGTGTGAGGAGGTCCCTCCTCTAGCCGCAGCAGTGCATAGCGGGCAGCACTCAGGGACAGGCCTCGGATCCCGTCGCCCCACTCCTTCTCAGCCCTGCAGAGGCCCCCACAACCTGGTAAGCCCCTGGTCCCACCCAGGGGTTGCGTCCGTGTGTAGGTGAGATGAAGGGGCCAGGCCCGAATCACAGTCCCCCAGCCCCAGCACCACGGTGGCTAACAAAGGACGGCTCAGCTCCCCACAACCCAATGAAGAGTGGCCCAAAGGCCCCAAGCAGGTGGCAGCCCTCACTCACCCTTGGTACTCAATGTACTTGTAGATCATGCCGGCAATGAGCATGGCAACCAGGGCATAGTACCAGGACGAGACAAACATAAGAGCCAGGCAGAGGCTCATGCCCAGGAAGGACAGCGCCCTGGGCCAGAGAGTGGGAAAGGGCCAGAATCAGGGAGAGACCAATAGGGCCCCAGGCCCAGACCCCCAATCTCTCACCAATAGCAACTGCTGCCCAGAAAATTCAAACCCCATCCAGAATGGGGCTCCCGGCTTCCCCAACAGCTCTTGTGTCAGAGGACCTGGCTCAGGCCCAGCTGGCACTTACCAGTGATAGTACTTGAACCGAGGCCGCCAGTTGGGGGTCCTTAGGAGCGTCTGCACAGCACAGGCCAGGTTCACAAACAGGTAACACATCAGGAAGAACCTGCAGCACAGGGAGTGGCCGGTACAGAGCGGCCTCCTTGGCAGCCAGGTACCTGATGTCCCTGCCCTTCCAGGCTGGGCCTGGATGAGGAACCAGGACATGTCATGGCCCTGCCGTGCACAGGCTCAGGCAGGTCTTCTCAGCCTCACCACACCCAGTCCCACAGCCTGATGCAGATGGGACACTGCAGCAGTGTCCGCAGAACCAGGTCTTAGAGGATGGGCAAGTGTTCACAGGCAGAGGAGGGGAAGGGGGTTCAGGCAGGGGGAACAGCTGTGGAAGAGGATGGTATCGAGGAGGGCTCAGCGTCTGGAGACGGCTAGACAACAGTCAGGCCTCTGGCCTGGGTGACCAGTTGGATGAGGGGCTGTCATGAATGTGGGGAGAGTGGGTCAGGGGAAGACAACAAGGGCCATTTTGAATCACTGAGTTAAAGACACTTGAGGGACACTGCGGTGGGTGTGGGAGACTGGGATGGGGGAGGCCTACCGCATGAGCCCTCCAGGAATGACAGCTGAGGGGCAGAGGACTGAGTGGAGGGGACGCCAACCTTTATCCTCAAGAAGGCAGCAGGGCTTACGAAAGAGGGCGTGCCAGGGGGCAGGGACTCCCATGAGGTGTCCCATTAGGGCTGCCAGGAGGAGCCAAGTGATAAGGCTGAGATACATCCTCTGACTTGGGCAGTAAGGGGCCACCACCCAAGAAGACTGTGGCAAGAACAGTTTCAGGTGTGCGCTGATGTGTGGGTGGAGCTGGGCAGTAATGGGCAGAGGTGTGCTGGGGGGAACAAGAGAGCACTGACCCCAGCAGGCCTGGCTGGGGCTGGGGGGCAGCTACTTCGGGGGGAAGGGGGTCCCTCTCAGTCTCACAGGCTAAGTGGGGCAGCGAAGGCTGGCTCAGTCATAACTGAACAAGCAAAAGGAGCACTGGCAGTGGAGCAAGATGTGTGAAGAGAGGTGGAGTGGGCCCCAACCCTGGCAGAGGTGAACACAGCAAGGACACGAGCCCTGCCGCCAGGACCCCTGGAAATTGCCGCGTGCTCATCACCTCCTGCAGGGCACTGGCAGATTCAGA